AGTGTCAGAGCTGCTTTTGAAACAGCCATTGTGAGTCAGCTTCTATAAATTACCTTTTTGAGACAGAAGTTTTAGCCCTTGATGAATTCAAACTCATTTTATTAAGAATGACATTTTCAGGAGTTGAGATGGTGAAGAGGAAGGTGAGGGTAGAGTAGGAAAAGGCATTAAGGAAACCCGACAGCTACATGAAGGGTTTGATGCTAGATAAAGTTAAAAACAAAGGTCAGGTCTGAGGGAATCAGAATCCAGAATGTGTGTAGCATAGCCATCTTTCCCAGGTTGAGATTCCTGAATGAGATAGGATTTGTTATTAGGCAAGAACATGCCTGACTGTAGCAGACACATGTCATAATATTTAGGGCTGATGCCACAGTCTCTGCAACTCTGGAAAGAGTTGAAAGGGGGTGTACTGCAGAGCAGAGTGATTGGCTGGCACTCAAGGCCTTGAGTTCCACTCCTGCATTGCAAAATAAGGGAGGGAGAGAGGAAGAGAAGGAGGGGAGGAAGAGAAGAAGGGAAGAAGGAACCAAGGAGTCGAAAGTAAATAGTCACCAATGATGGCACCTTGGCCTGTTTCTGCACCTGCCCAGGACAAAATACTCTGAAAAAGGTAATTTAAAAGGGAAAGTGTTCATTTCAGCTCACAGTTCCTCATCGTGTGTGTGGGGGGGGAGGGGGTCTTGTCACAATGTAGGAGCTTGAGGCAGCTACTCATATTGCAACCCTGGGGCTAGTGTTCAACTTCATTATGTTTCATACAGTCCAGGACCCCAGTCAAAGACTGGAGATGTCCAGTGCTGGATCCTCTCACCTCAGTTAATGGCATCTGGATCACCCTCACAGATAAGCTCAGAGTCCCCTCTCTCAAGTGAGCATAGGTCTGTCAGGGTTGACAATCAGCGCTAACACAGGTGACAGGAATAGGAAAGAGAGTTCTATAACTGCAACAAAGTGGTGGTTTTTTTCTTAAATACTCCATTGTAGCATTCTTGGCATTTTTTCTGTAAATTTGTAAATTTTCAAAATCAAAGCATCATTATAACTCTGAAAACAGAAAAAAAATAATTACAGACAGCACAGATCTTTCTATAGCACTGAGTGGAGAGTGTTCATCAAGAATCACCAAGTGTCTCCTCTACCACTGTTTTGGGATTTCCTATAACTCCAGCCAAGAATGGTTGTGATGTTGTGAACCTCTGTGACTCACCCTCCAGATTAAAGGGCTCTCTGTGGGAGCCAGCACTGCTAGGTGAGAAAGGAACTTGACTGTCCCTGGGGACAGGGAGAGAAAAAAGTAAGGAGGTGGATATTTTGTGTTTGTGGGTTTGTAGCTTACCAAATTGACATCCGTAGCCCTGAGCATGAGCCAGACTCAGATTCCCCAATTTACACTGGTGACAAAGCAGCCATTAGGCAGACACTGGGACCTCACAGGAACAACAGAATGCTCATGGACTGAGTAGAGCAGGGGCAGAGTGAACCCCTGTCCTATACCGTGGAGTCCCTGTTACTTTTAGGTGGAGGCAAAGCTAGGGCTTCCCTCACCCTGCTTCCACCAGAACCCTCTTAAGGCCCATTGTGCCCAATGAGCCTTTGGCTATCCCCAAGTTCAGGTACCTGCTCCCCAGTGTCATCCTCTGATGCTTCCGATGAGGACCGCTGCCTACTTCTCCCTACACACACACACACACACACACACACACACACACACACACACACACACACGCTAGAGTGTGAGGGTGTGGTGACATGGGGCCTGTAATTCTAGCTAGCACTTGGGAGTTTGGGAGGTTGAGGCAGGAGAATTGTGAATTCAAGGCCAGGACAGAGAATAAGACCCTGTCACCTAAAGGAGCAGAAAGAGACAAAAGAAAAGGAGGAAAGGGGGAGGAAGAGAAGGAGGAAGCAGAAGACCAGGAGGAAGAGGGCAAGAAAAGGAAACATTAGCCCAGCATGATGGCACACACCTTTAATCCCAGCACTTGGGAGGCAAAATCAGATGGATTGTTGTGGAATACTTAACTATGTAAAGACTTGTTACATTTGTTCATGCTGTGGAATATTACTTTAACTGTGTAAAGGTGTGTTACATTTGTTTCTGCTGCATTTGTTTCAGTGTAAGGATCTGTTACATTTGTTTATGCTGCGTTTGTTTAAATATATAAAGATGTGTTACATTTGTTTCACCTTGCCTGCCTAAGGCACCTGATTGATCTAATAAAAAGCTAAACAGCCAATAGTTAGGCGGGAAAGGAACAGGCAGGGCTGTCTGGTAGAGAGAATAAATAGGAAACAAATATAGGCTTAAAAGAGAAGAGGGGAAGAGAGGAGAGGTAGAAGAGGAGGAAGATAATGAGGGAGAGAGGTATACACCTGGAGCCAAAAGCCAAGCAGCCACCAGCCAGACATGGAGAAGCAGTGAATGTAAGGTATACAGAGGAAAAGAAAAGTAAAAATCCCTAAAGCAAAATGTAGATGAATAGCAAGAAATGAGCCTAAGCTCAGGCCAAGCATTCATAAATAATACATCTCCATGTCATGATTTGGGAATTGGCTGGTGGCCCAAAAGCCTGGTACAATGGATCTCTGAGTTCCAGACTAGCCTGGTCTACTTAGTGAGTTCCATAATATCCATGACTATGTAGAGATATCTTGTCTCAATAAAAGAAGAAAAGGAAGAGGAGGAGGAAGAAGAAAAAGGGGGAGGAGAGAAAACACTAAGTCTTGGGGAACTCTAACAGCAAGCCCAGCTCCTGAGACACTAGGATGTTCCTCTTGGACACTCCATCCCCCTGTTCTGCTCTTCATGGTGTTCTTCTCCTGGACTCTGGGCAACAGCCATCAGTGCCTGACTTGCCACGGGAGACTCTACATTTTGGCAAGGTCAGGAATCCTGAGGCATCACAAGATAGCTAGATGTTCTTGCTGCCATCAGCCAGCCTATGTAGTGACACCCCTCAGTCTATCAGCCTCCTAACTCAGCCAGTCTCCTCCTTTCTCCTGACTTTCTGCTTCCCTTCCCCATCCCCTTGCCTGGACACAACCAAACCTTCTAGCTGTGACTTAGCAGCTTCCTTTTGGTGATCGTCCATGAGTAACCATGGCCCTGATTCATCCCAATGTCCAGACACACCCTCAGCTCTCAGCCACAATACATCTCTGCTGGATCCAAATTCAAATTTGCTCTCTTCCTTTCTCATTTTGTTCCCATTTCCCATCCCTGAAAAACTGTCCCTTCCCCCACTCCAATTTTCACAGGAAAGTATTACCCCACCAAGAGTGCTGTGTACCAGGGTGACAGTGAGTTGACTGTGTGGGTTGATCATGTGACAGAGATGTGACAATGGGGAAGGCTCTGCTTCCATAGAGAAGAGCATATGGGACTCTCTGTGGCTTTTGCTGTGGGGTCAAAACTTCAAAAAATGATAAGCAGTAAAACCTGAATCCTGCCAGGTGAAGCTATGCACACTTTTGATCCCAGCACTCAGGGGGCAGAGACTAGTGGATCTGTGATTCCAAGGCCAGCCTGGTTTACATGAGTTTCAGGTCAGCCAGGGCTGCATAGTGTAATCATGTCTTTAAAGAAATAAAGTAAAATAAAATTTAAAAACAAGCACCAATAATTCTGGTGGTCAGTAGGCAGGAAGGGCAGAGTGCTAACAAACTCTAACCAACTGGGGAATCAGTGGATATGGCAGCCACAAGGCCACATTTCACAAGGAGGGAACAGTTCAGGGGAGCCTTATTTCTTCAAGGTATGGATAAAAGTAAGTTGCAAAACAAACAACAGAACCCTCCATCAGAGTCTGTGATAGGCAGGAACTGGGCAGCCATCATAGACTCGAACTGACATCCCTTAGTAACTCAGGTGCTCCAGATACGCAATATACTGACTACATGCAAACACTGGGCATCTTTGGTCACCCTTTAAGGCACCTTTGTTCCTTCTTTTTGCATTAGGAGCCAGCCTGTTTCTTTATTGCTGCCTTAAAACACACAGCAAGAAACCAGCAGGTACAGCTACAGTAGCTTAAGAAGGAGTAAAAGAGCCTGAGGCTATTCCTGACCTCATCTGCGCGCGCGCACGCACACACACACACACACACACACACACACACACACACACACACACACACACGAGGCCTGGTGATTTAAAAAAAAAGAAAGAAAAAGAGAGACTGGAGACCTTTCTCTACCTGGACACAAGCATAAAACACAACATGATTCCAAAAGCCTGAAATGGATAAAGGCTGGAGTGGATGGAAGTTAATAACCCATGAGGAGTCTGGAGCTTCAGGCCAGCACTTTTGAGCTTCTGGCTGTCCCCAGCTTACCACCCTCTTCATTTCAGGAGTGTCTTTTCTTTCTTTAATAAACAGTATTTATTTCTACATCCAAACGCGTGTCCCTAGTATAATTAATTGTTCTAGTGGGTGTCTCAGATCCACTCCAATATAAAGTTTTTGTTAACTTTGCATTTCAAAGACTCCACAAATCTCTTCCTCTTCTCCCTCGTCCTCTGTCTCCTGTCTTTGTTTCTCATTCCCTGGCCCCTGGCCCTCTGGGGCAAATAAATCTCCTTTGTGCTGAGAACTTGGTCTCGGGGGTGTCCTAAGCCGATACTGATCTCTTACAGCAGATACAGGCGATGGAACTTAAATCGTTAGGTTTGGTAGCAAGCGCCTTTACCGGCTGAGCCATGTTGTCAATCCCATATGAAATATATATATATATCTCATATGTTCCATATAACACAAATGCATGCTCGTTGCGTGCATATGTGACCCCTGGAAGTCTCGGGCATCCTCGTTCTAAGGCGGCTCCAGCAGCCATCTCAAACCCACTGAAGAGTTGGATACTTCTGCAGTGTTCAGCAAATGGAAAGTTAATGAAGACCACAAACCCAGAGCGGGAACGCCGCCCGCTGAGTCGCCTGCGCATGCGTGTGCCCCAAGACCATCTAACCTCAGTGCGCAGGCGCAGCTCGAAGCGCAGGTGTTTGACGTCACCAAGAGCGCCAGCGTGGGCGGCAAGAGGCGTCGCGCTGTGACGTGTGTTGGCCATGGAGTCGCTGGCTGGTGAGGAGTTCATAGAGTAATGGGGGGGAAGCGAGGCTGGGACGGCGCAGTGGTCCCCGTGGTCCGAACGTGTCGTGTGGAGGACGATACTCGGCCCGTTACGGCTGTGATGTCCAGGCTGACAGCCGCAAGGGAGAATCAGTCCGGCCCGCGCCCAGCGGGGTTAGACACGTTTAAAATAGCCAGAGCGGGGTGGGGTTTGGGGTTGGGGGTCGTCGTTCAGCGTCGAGCACCCGCAAAGCGTGTTCACTGCCTCGCTGTGAACTAGGGAGCATATGCACCAAGCAGCGAAAGTCTGGAACGCATCCACTTGCCCGTCAGTGGCGTCTGCCCATGCAAACGCTGTGATGCCACGGAGTTTACGAGGGACAAAAGTTGGGGGCTAGAGAGAGAGAGAGAGAGCTCTGTGGTTAAAAGCGCTTGTTCTTGCAGAGGACTGGAGTTAAGCCCCAGGAAGCATTTTCGATAGCTCATAACTAAAGTTCCAAGGGAAGGGGCCCTGGCCTCCGCTGGCACCTGCACGCATCCCCCCCCCCAACCCAGTTGGTAGTGGTGCACATAAACATGTAAACAAACGGCGGACACACACTATGTTTTAAAAAAAAAAGACAAATGTGCTTTCTACACACTAGTCTTGTGAGGTTTAACGATGTAAAAGAACAGGTTGGGGGTGTGGCTCAGTGATAGTGTGCTTGCTTAACATACTTAAAGCCCCGAATTTGACCCACTGCACCGCTATATAATTGAAAAGACTACATTCTAGCCAAATCTAGTGGTGCACATTTGTAACCCTTACTACTCGGGAGGCTGAAGCAAGAGCATGTTAAGTTTAAAGCCTGTCTGTGCAACAGAGTGACACCCTGCCTCAAAAAGGTGTGTGTAGCTCATCAGAAGAATGCTTGCCTAGTATGCCAGAGCCCCTAGTACTGCAGAAATGGAGTCCAAAATAGGAGCTCTTCTCTCAACTGGTGAGGGAGCTTGAAGGAAAACTAATATTTCCATTGTTTTGAAGAGAGACTTGACACCTAAGCCGTACTGGTATGGACACAAACTCCTGGGCAGATGTTGTCACAAGAGCAGGTATACAAGTGGCCACATGCACTGTGGAATTGCCTTTTATCAGTAAGTCACAGTCCTCCGTTATCATAGGTGTCTCCAAGCAAGGCATCCGTGAACGAATTTGGGACTATATGGAATCACATGATTTAGCTGACTTTCCCCGACCTGTTCATCACAGGATTCCCAACTTTAAGGTACAAAAGTGTTCCTGGTATTGTTAGAAGGGGATCAAGCTATTCCTGGGAGAGTCAAGTCAGTAATACAGCTCCTCTGCTTTCTAGTAGGATTGATTTTCACAGAGCTGTCTTCCCTCAGCCACTTATGGAGGGGCTTATGGAACCCCTCCCCCAAGAGGGAAGCCCAGCCTTTAGTGCTCAGAGAAGCATCCTGTTTCATAACTGTTCAAAATATTTGTCAACCCAAGATGAATGTTGCTGATAGCTTGCATGGAAAATAATTAGCCTGAAGGAGACAATGTAAGCCAGGTGCTGGCTCACACTGGCTATCCCAGCACTTGGGAAGACAGAGGCAGGAGGATCAGGATCTTAAGGTCATCCATAGCTACATTGTGAGTTGGAAGTCTAACTAGGCTGCATGAAACCCTGTCACAGACAGACAGAAAGCCTGTCACAGACAGAGAGATGGGGGCAGGAGGGCATGCAGTGTGACATTGTTTGTGACCTTTGCTTTGTTCTTTTGAAGAGAACTGATGTGCTTGTGAAGGTAGACCAAGGCCCTGGTTGGTGTAGGACCTGGTGCCCACCAGCACCCCATATTGGGTTCTGGCTGAACTGATTTCAGACTGCAGGGCCCCTGGAGACCATTCCTCCCTGAGGTCTCAGTTGTTTCTATGCTTTTGTGGGAGACAGACATGGAGTGCAGAGAAGAGAGTACAAGAAGTTCAGGATGAGCTCATAGTCTCTGGAGTGAAGGAGACCTCTGGACATCCTGCTCCTTGACTGGATGGTGCTTATGTGAGCTCTGTTCTTCTGTGGAAATTCCTCAGGCTCAGCATGTGAGATTTGTGTTCTTTTTAGAGTTTTCTTCCATTAAAAAATGAGTTCTGGGGCTGGAGAGATGGCTCCATGACTAAGAGCACTGGCTGCTCTTCCAGAGGTCTTAAGTTCAGTTCCCAACAACTGCACGGTGGCTCATAACCATCTATAATGGGATCTGATGCCCTCTTCTGGCATAAAAAGTCAACAGAGCACTCATATATGTAAAATAAATAAATCTTTAAAAAACCAAAAAACGAACCTGAGTTCTGGGCTAGTCCCTTTCCATCCTGTGTTCTTTCTGAGGTATCTCCTTAGGGAAATGTGGGCTCCAGTATCTGGGTGGATGCTGGGCTGTGATGCCTAGACCCATACTTGGCCTATGTCCTCATGGTGACGTGCAGTCACGTTTACACAGGGTGCTTCTCGGGCTTCGGAGCATTTCCCACACCTGCATGCTTTCAGTGTGGCAAGAACCATTAAAGTCAATCCTGATGCTCCTCAGAGAAATGCCCGATTCCTCGTGCTAGAGGTGAGTACAGCACTGTCTTTGCCTAACTAGGGGTCTTACCTGGCTTGCCAAAGCATCAAAGACCTGGAAGTCTTTGCTGGGACACAGGAAGTGAAAGTGGACCCTGATAAGCCCTTGGAAGGTGTCCGGTTGCTGGCACTGCAGGTAACTCCATGTTCCCAAGCTGCACTCTGTAATGAGGGCTCAACCTCCAGGTGACTGCTGAGTGCATGCAGTGGCTGGTAAACTGCTGTGACTGCAACTCACAACAGTCCATTTCTTCACTATATTTTTACTGTTCTAATTCCTTGAAACAACAACAAAAAACCTACTCAGAAATCTGATACTGTGTTAGGTGGTAGTGGTGCACACCTTTAATCCCAGCACTGGAGAGGCAGAGGTAGGTAGATCTCTTCAGAGTTCTTGGCTAGCCAGGGCAACACAGAGAAACCCTGTCTTGAAAAGCCAAAATAAATAAATGTGTGGACCACTTTTCAAAGGAAAGAGGGCACCTTTGGCATTGATTCAAACTACTTTATATCATCTCACTTAGAAGAGAGCTTGGCGTGCATTTTAAAGCACATAGCTCTTAAGCAATTATAGTAACCAAAGCAGAGCCACAGAGGTATCACTGAATGACAGTTACTGTAATATGATGACTGACATAGCTTTGCTGTACTAAGTCTGCTGCTGCTTTTGGCACTGAACATCAGGCACAATGGCTTTGGAAATCAGTCTGGGACTGCCAGAGGTCATGGAGTAACTTGATGGTTCCTCATTGCTGTCACATTACATGGAAGAAGCTGCAGCTGCACAGGATGCCTGCTGTATTGTGCAGTAAGGAAGGTCGTGAGGCCTTTGTGCTGAGAAGAGCAGTGACATGAAACACTCCTCTGCTTCTCCAGACTGAGCAGGATTTGTCCCATGAAACTGGAGCCTTCTTGGAAGCACAGAAGTGTCTGCCTTACCTCCCAGGCAGAGAGATGGTGTTTGAGCTAGTGTGACACCCCACACAGCAGTGAGAACAGCAGGGGACATTGCTGATGGGAGGGGACACTGGGGATGGACACTGTATTGTCACCAACAGTCCTCAAGTGGCTCTCAGGGGAACCAGGCACGAGAGGGGAAGTAGCCCAGGTGTGCTCAGGGGTTCTTTAGCTGAGATTCCCTTTCTTAGTGGGGAAAACATGCACTTGTTGTGTAATTGGTTGTCTTTTCCCTCAAAGAACAAAAAGACACTGCTGGTCCCAACACCACGACTGAGGACAGGGCTGTTTAATAAGATCACACCACCTCCTGGAGCCACTAAAGACATACTAAGGAAATGTGCCACCTCCCAGGTGAGTGCTAGAAGCCCCCACCCTGGAGGACCGTCCTCAGGAGTCACTGTAGTGTAAAATAGAACATGGAGTTTACACAAAGCCACGAGAGCAGTGTTCAGCAGTTCTGCCCATACAGTAGATATTTAAATAGATGCTTTGGCTAGTTAGAAATGCTTGTTCAACAGCTGGTAAGACCAGCATCAGGCACTCTGGTGCCCTCTTGTGGTAGATTTGGTGCTGTGTGCCTGTGCTTGCTCCCACCTGTTTAGATGAAGCTTTGGAGGGCAGGATGGGCTGGAAAGCGGCTGTCAGTGATCACTGCTGACAGGAGCAGGATTGCACATCATCAGACACTTCACAGTCCAGCTAAACTGGAGTCTGTAAATTCATTGACCTGCTAGAGAACCAGGATTTGCATCTTAGGTTAAATAACATTCGGTAGCTTTTTAAAGAGCCATAAACCCCATGCCATTTTACTTAACCCTTTTAAAGGGACTTTACCTTGAATCTAATATGTAAAGGTTGAATGACTTTTTATTTTCTGATAACTTATGGAAAAAATAGAACTAACTACAGCTTACAAGAACGAGTACAGTATGCTGTAAAGATAAAGTATGTGTATGTAGAGGGGCAAGTTTGGGAGGGCTGGATTTGGTGGTGGCATCTGAAATCAGGTACTGGGAAAGAGGGGTGGCAGAAGTGCTGATGCAAACCTGCCTGGGCATCATAGCAAGACTACATTTCAGAATAAGTATTAAAAGGAATTGGGGTGGGGTGTAATGCAGCTCACTAGAGTCCTTCTCCATCTTATATGAGGCCCCAGATTCCATCCCAGCAATGAAGAAAATTGAACAAGAAAAAAAAAAAAAAAAGAAAAGTAAGATAAAGCCATAGTTCTGGTCAATCCCAAGCCGACAGCTCAGGATTCTCAGAGACGGGGCAGTGATCAGTTCCAAGACAGGGTGTTGATCAGTCCTGGGCCCCAATTCTGTCAGTGAGGGGCCTAGTTCCATGGTTACTGAGAGGGATGGCACAAAACTCCCAACAGGGAGGGTACATCAGGCATGCACTGTGATGTGCTCCAGGGAGAGACCCATCCTGGCTCTACACTGATCCCAGAAGAGACTTGCCAGGTCTCTGACCTGCTGCACGGGTGCAGTCCCTTCACACTTTCTATACCGCCTCTGATCATCAGAATGAGTGGTGGAACTTGGGGTACATATCCAGAAGCAAGAGTGCCCTGTGTGAAGCTCTGGTTTAAGTTTAAGGTATTTAACCCCCTGTGCCTTCTTTTCTAACATCTGTTCTGGTGTCCCTGTGCTGGGGAGCCTGAGGCTTCTGTGACTCAGCAGGTTCTGGCCTGCTTATGTGTAGCTCCCACCTGATTCTACCTAAGGTGTCCTTTTGACGTTAGTGTTAGTGTTCTGTAACTTTGAGTGGCTAGTTCCCTCTGACCATCTTCCTGGGATAGGAATTGTAGAAGATACACCCTCAAATTGTTCCTGGAACTAACTGTTCTAGGATACTGCCTCCTGTAAGGTAGTATGGGAGTCATATCCACTCTGACTGCTCTGAGACCATGAGCTTAGCCTTGTATTTCCCTTTATAGGGTGTGCGGAACTTCAGTGTCCCTGTAGGATTGGATTCCAACGTCCTTGTGGATTTAATTGTAGTGGGATCTGTTGCTGTGTCTGAGAAAGGTAAGTTAGGTAAGTTAGAGACAGGGTGTCCGGGTGTTCCTGAAGGCTGCCCTGTGTACTCTCCCCTTGCCAATCATTCCCCTCTGTGTGCCTGACCTCAGCCGCTGCACTGGTCACTTATAGAGGCTGTTTTTGTCAGTCCAGAATCTCATGAGTGCCATAGAATAGTGAATGAGTCTTGCACCTCAACTAATACAATCTGGATAATCCTCACAGACATTCACTGAGGTCTGTTTCCCTGGTGATCCTAGATTCTGTCAAGTTAAAAGTAACAGTCACAGGTGCTCACAGGAGCTCCATCATCTCTCTGCCTGTCCCCTGCACATGGCTGGGATTATCCAACTTGAATTGTTAGTAGGCTGATAGTGATCTTTTAACAACATGTTGTTGTATGACCTGTGCAGGCCTCAGAATTAGTCTTCCTCTTAGGCTCCGGGTTCTCCCATGTTTCCCAGATTCCCACCTACTATGTATGTGTGCCACCACATAGTGTTTCCTGCCTACCTTTTGACTTCCTCTCAGCTCATCCCCAGCTATGTAGCCTGCCCATACTGTCTGCTGCCCTTCTGTCCCATTGTCTTTGTCTATGCGTTTCTGTCAGAGGAGCTCAGGTAGGTCTGAATCTTAGAGAGCACACATCTTGGTGGTGTGCTTCCTCCTGGGTTGATGCTGGTACCCAGACTCCAAGTGAGGAGAGTCCACACTGGAAGCCAAAGACCATTACTGCTTGCTGACTGCTATAGTCCTTTGTGCTTCTGCATGCAAGGGCCTGTGACCATGCAGCCCCACCTAGCCTGGCCTCCTCTTTGCATCTGGCTTCTCTTCCTAAGGCAGGCAGATCAAACACCTGCCCTTGGAAATAGGACTCTCTTTTCTGTCTTCACACACTGACCTTTTGTGACTTATGGCTTTTGATTTCAGAACTTGACTTTAGCTCTCCATCCCCCAACCTTAGCCTCTGATGCAGCTGTGGCTCAGCACCTGGCCACTGTCACTGCTTTTCACTATGTCTTGCTGACGTGACTGGCACACAAGTGCAAGCTTGGTCACCCCATATGGCATCTGAGGTTTACCTACTCACTATGCATTGTCAGTGTTTTGTACCCATGGGTTCATGTTCTGGGGCCACTTATGGGTTGCTATGGACAACAGGAATGCTGAGATCTCATCCTTTCCACCTAGGCCTGATAGGAACCCACTTCTGCTGCACCCCTGTCTTGTCTCTTAGGCTGGCGAATTGGGAAGGGAGAAGGCTATGCTGATCTTGAATATGCCATGATGGTGTCAATGGGAGCTGTCCGTGAGGGGACACCAGTTGTCACCATTGTCCATGACTGCCAGGTATGTACTGCAGATGTGTCATTGGTGCCCCTCTCAGCCACTCCAGGAGAGGGAGGGACACTTATTTGTATTAGGCTTTCTCGGACACCAGCCCCCAGTCATGATGCAGAGACTTAATTTAACCTGTTCTTCTTCATTCACATTTTGCCTCGAGGCTTTTTTTTACTTTTCTTTCATTCTGTATGTCCTATATTTCCTGCTTCTTCCATGTCTGTCTGTCTGGTGGCTGGGTGTCTTCCTCTCTTTTTCCCTCATTCTCTATTCTCTCTTCTCTTGAGCCTAGATTCCTCCTTCTACTTCTCTCTGCCCACCTGCCCTATCAGTCCTGCTACTGCCTAGGTATTAGCAGTATTCAGCTTCTTATTAGACTAATCAGGTGCCTTAGGCAGGCAAGGTAAAACAGCAACATACCTTTACATAATTAAACAAATGCAGCATAAACAAATGTAACACATCTTTGCCTAGTTAAATAGTCCACAACATAAACAAATGTAACATATTTACATAGTTAAAGTAATATTCCACAATACCTATTCCTTGCATCATGCTATGAAAGGTGTTGATTGATGAGGCACCAAGTCTCATATACTGACGATCATCTATCCAGTTGGTCACTTCCTTCCGGGCCCTGCTGTAACCTGACTAGACAGTGCCTTACCCTGTCCAGGTTGTTGACATTCCTGAGGCTCTTCTGGAGGACCACGATCTCACTGTTGACTACATCATCACTCCCACCAGGGTCATTGCCACAGGCTGTGCACGCCCAAAACCAACAGGGATCATCTGGTCCAAGGTGGGTCATTACTTTGGCTGACATGGCCTACTCTAGTGGCTCTTATGTGTTCCTTGTGTGCATTGCCTATGACTTTGAATGGTGTAGCTCTGAGTCACATCTTCAGGCTAAGGCTTAGGGTCTACCTAGAAAGCAGTGATGAGAGGGTCACTGCATTGTGGCTCCTTTGCTTGTGTGTGTGTGTGTGTGTGTGTGTGCGTGCATTCATGTGCATGTGTAGAGGCCAGAGGTCAACCTTGGGTGTCATTCCTCAAGATGTGTGCCACCATGCCCTCAGCCTTGTGATGTTAGGCAAGCACTCTGCTACTGAGCTACCTCCCAGTCCTTTGCTTATTTTTAGTTTGGAGGCAGGGTTCACTGTCTAAATCTCTCAGGTAGCCAAAATTGCAAGCCTATGCTGCCAACCCCCACAAGTGACTGCAAACTTCCAGGTGATTGACACATTAAAATCAAATCTGAGTTATAATTTTTAGAGGATAGATGATTAATTACAGAGCATAAAATGTTTCATTAAAAAGTAGAATTTTTATTTCATGTGGCACATTGGCAAAAAATAATGACCATTCCTAATTGCCAGCTAGGAAAAACAGAATGTCCTGTCAGCCTGGGCAGTGACATCAACCCCACTTTGCTAGCCCAAATGTAAGCAGCTCAGAAATGGCAGAGCCAATGTGGTTGGGACTTGTAGAGAAGTGAGCCAAGCCAAGGCTATACTGGTGTCATTACTCCCTACTGTGTTCCAGACAGGAGTGACACCTGGCTCCATAGTAGCCTGAGTATCAGGATATGCCATCATTGTAGCTCCTGTGCTGTCAGGCTTTGTAGGAAAGAAGCCCTAGAGTCTGAGTGCTGATCTGATGTGTGCACTACAGAAACTCTGCCTTGAGCCAGGCATAGTGGCACATGCTTTAAATTGCAGCACTCAGAAAACAGGGGCAGGTGGATCTCAGGGAGTCCAAGGCCAGCCTGGTCTACAGAGCAAATTCCAGGACAGGCTCCAAAGCCGCACAGAGAAACCCTGTCTTAAAAAACAAAACAAAACAAAAAAACCCAGCAGCAACAACTACAAAACCAAAACAAAAAATAAACAAGAAACCCTGCCTTGGAGCCATGGCTTTTCTCTCAGTAACTCCTTGTTTACCAGCTTTGTGCCACAAAAATTAAAGAAAAAATTGTCTTTGATGGATGAGAAGTCAGAATGGACTGGACAGGTCTCCTTCCTGGCCCACTGCAGGCTGATCTGCCAGCTCAGTCCAGGCAGCTGCTGCCTGCATGCTTCCAGCTGTGTTTGTGCACACAGATCAGGCACCCAGCTCATCCTCCAAGCCCCACTGTGCTTCCACTGCCTCTGCAGGTTGCTGGGATGTTGGTGACCAACTATAGCAACTCAGTAGGACCTCAGGTGACCTGTGCAAAAGCCCCACAGGCTGACACTGAGCTCAACAAGCTGTTCATTTAGCAACTTGGTGACCCACAGAATCCTGCATAAGTCCTTCTCCGTGTCAGACCTGTCTGGTTGTGTGTAGGGCCAGGCCCCATTTGACCCAAGAGATGCTCCTGGGCATGTAAAGGACCCCATCCCAGCCACAGGTACCATAGGGAGCCATCACTCACTTGGAGATAGCAGGGAATTGCCTTGTGGCCCATGTTAATACCACTAACTGCAGGGGCCTCTTCTGGGTGAATGACCCACAAGGGAACCCCAGTGTTTCCTCCAGAAAGATAAAGGTCCATTCCACCCTCACTGTGGCACATAAAGGGACAATTTCATTTAGGCTGCAGGCCATGGGATCAGAGCTGCAGGTTGGTGACTTTCTATTAAGAAATAGAATCCAGGACCGGCCTGGTATTGCAGACTTATCCAGGCACTCTGGATGCTGGGGCAGGAGGAAGGCAAGTTTGATGCCTGGGCAATATGATGAGGCTTTGTCTCAAAATAAAAAGAAATGGCTGGACTATAGCCTAGTGGTAAAATGCTTGTGTAGACTGTATAGGCCCTGTGTTTCACCACCAGCATCACAGAAATAAATAAAATTAAACATGCAGTGGAGTTCTTACTTGTCTCCCCCAAGACTGCACTGGGCCCTTCAGCATCCTTTCATCCATATGGTGTAGTACATTGCCAGAATTCCTCCTAAGTGTGTGGGTGTGGCCTCAGTGTGACTACCCCGTGGACACCAAAAGACAACTAAGGTCACTGTCTTTCAGGTCAGTTGTGAGATGCTTACGAAAATCCCAGTACTAAGGATCCTCCGTGAACGAGAGAAGCCTGCCGGGAAGGATGTCACTCTTCAAGCTGAGCCTGGCAGCCAGCACCTGGCTCCAAGCACTATCAGTAGACCCTGGGATATACCACAGTCACAAGCAGGTTCCATAGGAGGGGCCTATAGCCCCCTGCAGAGCATGGACACCCACGTAGCTGCCACTGTGTGTGTGGGAAACCTGCCCTACAATGCTCGTGTTCGTGAGTTAAAGAGAGCCCTCCAGGAGCTGGGGGCAGTTCCCCTGAGGCTTACCTGGCAGGGGCCACAGCACAGGGCCATTCTACACTACACAGACTCAGCTGCTGCCCAGCAGGCTGCCTCTCTCCTTCAGGGCCTACGCCTGGGTGCCAACACCTTGAGAGTGGCACTGGGACAGCAGAGGGATACGTGACCTGGTGAGCAGCTCCCACCAGAAGAGCCATGCCCTCTCTGTTGTTGGGATGCCTCTGGCATGTGACAATTTGCCATTGTTGGTGGCCTGCTGCTGTGTGAGGCATATGCTCTGTTCTTCCTGGGAAGAGGGCAGACTTTCCTAATGGGTAAGGATGGTAGCATGCAACACATCATGATTCTCAGGATACTGTGAGCTCTGACTCATTCTGACCCATTCCAGTTCTGGTTCTGAAGTCCGTGTGATGTTCTCTGGGTGCAGAAGGTTTAGGGACTGAGCAACAGGGACAAGAGGTAGGGAATGGAGAGAAAGTGACCATAGGCTCACAGAGAAGAGGCTGGGGCAGGGATTGAGGGCAGGCAGCAGAGCCAGAAAATGGTCCTCGTAATCATTGCAGACCCCCCAGTCCCACAGCACAGAAGTGGGGACGGGAGTTTACATCCAGAGAACAGAAACCCCACATTGTGCACATACGCGGTCATGTCTACCCAGGCTGTACAGCTGTAGTCATTGGGCTTAGGGCCTCACTGTCCCCCGGTGAGGATGAGGGGCTGGGGTGGCAGCTGCCTCTGCTTTCCCAGACATAGCACTTGTGCCATTGATCCTAGGCAAAAAGTCAAAATAAGCACTTAGGTGGAGAGTATGTTTTATTCACATGTGCATGCCTGAGAAGTTTCTTGTTTTTTACCAATGGGTCTTCTACAGTGTCCATTAACATTGTCCTTTGCCCCAGAAGGGCAGGCCTTGTTCACATATTAAGAGGGGAAAAAAATCTTATGACAGATGTCTCCTTGCAGGGACCCAGCCTTAGAAAACTGCTGGTTTAGTAACCACCCTTCCAAGTTGTCACTGGCACTATGGGAAGCAGGCCTCAAGCTGCCTCTGGCCTTGCACCTACTAGCCTAGCCTTCCCTGCACTCCTTTCCAACAGCCACTGCTCATCCTGTCCTCTCCCTAGTCTGCTTTCCCCAGGGTCCTCACCTGCCCTTGTGTCCCTTCTGATCCTCAGTGCCCCCTGTGGGACAGCAGCTGCAGCAGCATGGAGCTATCTTTTCCCTCTTGCTGCAGACCAGGACATGAGCACCTCAGGAAATCCCATGTTAGGGGAGCTGTCCATCAGAGCTGGGAAATGGGGAGATGACCCTTACCCAAATATCAGCCAAGCCTGACTCCGTCAAATGATCAGTCAGGTCACCCAGATGGTGTGGGCCTCTTGTCAGTTGTGGCCAGAATAATCCAGATGTGTTGACACACAGTCTGAGCCCCTTGTGTATTTGTGTAAAGTGGCATCAGCACTGAAGCCCAGGTGCTCTCAGTCTCAGTCCAGGTAGATGCTGCAGAGTGTTGTACCCTGTCTCAGGATGCCCTCGAGGTCTAGTTCCCCAGGTGGCTGGTGAGCCACGGGTGACAAAGTCATTACATTCTTTGAGGCTGTGATTGTGTAGCATACAATAAAAAACTGACAAAACTTTTCAGGTGCTGAGCTGGCAAAGATGCTGTAAGTGTTGCTTCAGGATTCTGGACCCCTCCATGTTATCCACCCATGTGATATTCAGCTTCACCAGTGGTAGAGACTTGGGTTGTTTAGAAGAAATTGGTCCTTTGGGCTGGACTTCACCATGACTGTTTTAGGATTACTGTTGGTATGTTGAAACACCATGATAAAAAGCAGCTTAGGAAGGAGGGGGTTTATTTTGCTCAGAGTTCAATATAACAGTTGATCATCAAAAGCAGTGAAGGTAGGAACTCAAGCATGGCAGGAACCTAGAGACAGGAGCTAATGCAGAGGCGTGGAGGGATGCTGCTTACTGACTTGCTCCCCACAGCTTGCTTACCCTGCCTTATAGAGCTCAGGACCACTAGCCAAGGGATAATCCCACCTATGATGATCTAGGCCCTACTATATTAATCACCTAAGAAAATGGCTACAGGCTTGCCTGCAGCCTACTCTTCTGAAGATACTTTCTCAATTGAGGTTCCCTCCTTTCAGATGACTCTAGCCTGTGTCAAGTTGACATAGAACTAGCCAGCACCTTGCCCTCTTCCTGTGTATACTTTCTCTGCATCCCTTGTTCTGATGAGAATATAGCCTCATCCTCCTGCCATGACTGGGACTTCAATCTGAAGCTGATCCAAACTCTTCTGGGCATCTTCACAGTGATGAAAAGCTGGCTAATTCAGGAAGATACAAACCAATGGCTTCTCCAGCATCCATTGTAACTGGCTTTTAGAAATCTAACAGCAGGGGCTAGAGGAGATGCTCAGCTGTTAAGAGCCCTTTATGCTCTTCCAGTAGGCCTGAGTTCAGCTTCCACCACCTATGTAACAAAGCTTATTTGACTTCCATGGATACTGAACATACAACATATACACACACACACACACACACACACGAACGAGATAACGACTTATAAGTAGTTGGGTCTGTGGCTGATGAGCAGCTCAGCCTCCTGTAGGTGAAATGAGTTTTATAGAAAGTGATTAGAGGTCCACAGAGATGCCCCAGTTCCAGCAAGACCCTTGCAGAAGCTCCTCAAGGAACCAAGCAGCAAGCAAGAGCAAGAAAGCAGAATTTGACCTCTGCTCTCTTCCACATGCACGCACACGTGAACTGGGGAACAGAATAAAGTGGATTGGCAGAGGAGCCACAAGGCAATGACCCTCTCAATGCTGGCTTCTAGGTGATTCTAAGCCTTGGTTTAAAGATGAGGTTTGGGATTACAGGGTTCAAAGTTCCAGGTGATGCTGGTGGCATCTCCCATCCTGTGGTCATGTTGAAGTCACGCTTAATACAGAAGCCAGGATGTCCCGAGGGAAGAGGCCAGAGCAGCAGCAGTCATCATTTTGAGGAGTGAGATGGCTTGAAGAATAGAATGCCAGAGAAGAGGTTGCTGAGCCTAGGGGTCACTCTTAGGTGTCTTAGTTAGGATTTCTGTTACTAATAAAACACCATAACCAAAAGCATCTTATACTCCTATATCATAATCAGTCATCAAAAGGAGTCAGGAGCTGATGCAGCTCACCCCTCATGACTTGCTAAACCGGCTTTTAGTACCAATCTAGGGGTGGCACTGCCTATAATGAATCCCCTCACCCTATCAGTCATCAATCAAAATGCTCCGAAAACTTGCCCACGGGCCAATCTTAGTGGAGACTTTTGTGAGGGTTCCTCTTCCAAAATGACTTTAGTTTGTGTCAAGTTGATGTAAAACTAGTCACATTAGGGGAAGCATGTCTGTCCATCAGGCTATCTTAGCACTCTGGATGGCCAGACCTACAGAAACACATTTAAAGTCATAGGCCTGATGGTCTTCTGAAGCGTGAGATGAAATTTTCTGACTTTGCAGGAGCCAACGTGCAGGCTCACCTCCTAATCCTGGCCTGATGCTGTCCTCTGGGTCCCATCATCTGGGCTTGATGCTCTGCCCTGCATTGTCCTGGACATGTGGGCCTAATGTAACCTTCTCTGATTCTGGACATGTGTTCTATATGTGATGCTGCCTCTGAGGTTCCTATTCTCACAGCCCCAGTTCCTGGCAAAGTGATGAAGGAGGCCGCTGTGCTTGTATACCTTTATCTAGGTTCCATGACCAGCATCCCAAATAGATTATAAAGCAAAGAGAACATCTATTTTGTTATTTATTTTTGGTCTCTTTATGTTTTGTTTTTTGAGACAAGGTTTCTCTGTGGCCCTGGCTGTCCTGGAACTCACTCTATAGACAATGCTCGCCTCAAACTCAAGAGATCCACCTTCCTCGGCCTCTGATTCCAGAGGTGACTAAAGGCATGCAGCCATTACTCCTGGCTCTGGTTCTTTTTTGTTGTTGTTTGTTTGCTTGTTGTTTTGTTAGTTTTTGAGTCAGGGTTTCCCCACATAGCACTGGCTAGCCTAGAAGTAGCTACATAGAGCAGGCTGACCTCAAACTCACAGAGATCTGCCTGCCTCTGTCTCCCACCACACCCAGCTTCAAATTTCAAAGTATCAGAGCCTTTCTGCAAAGTAAATCCTTCATAGGACCCATGTATATGGGCGGCATGTCAGCGACACCCTGCACTTTTTAGTGGGCACTGCCCCTTGCCTTTCTTATACTCTGAACTCCCTTTCCCTGCAGTTGGGGGAGAGGGAGGAGCTTTCTTCTGTTCTCCCGAGGATCTGAAGTGCCCAGGGAGCTTGGTGCATCTTCCCAGGAAGCTCTTCAGCTCTCCCAACCAGAAAACTTACCCCAAATCCAGCTAAAGTTACACCACATTTGGCTTGTCACCTGGGGACCAACTCCACAAAGTGCTGATGCTGGACTGTCCTGTGGAGAGGAACAGGCACCCAGCACTGCCAGGACAATGTGCCATTTTGGAAGGGATCCTAGGCCAGGAGGAGGAGCCCTCATAGGCCCCACTGAGGCAACCCTGTAACCTCAGGAATGAGATGACTTACTGTTTTAAGCCACTAGGGGCAAGTGTTTGATTCCCTGGTAACCAGTCATGCAGTTTCATTTATTGTCACAGATAATGATAGGCACATGTAAATCATATTAAAGTATAGATCAACATTTCCTCTGAAGAACAGTTCACAAGAGTAGATAGAGGGTTTACCATAACCATCTTCATCTTCATTGAAGATGCAGGTTCCTCAGGTAGCTGAGGCCCCAGGAGTGCAGCCAAGTTGCTCTTTACCCCCAGTGAGCAGGCTCAAGCCAGGTTCATTTGGCAGGAAAGAAAAATCAGCCTCCCCCTGTGAGGTGACTAAGGTCTTCCCACAGCAGAGGAAACGTGGACTTGGGTCTGTGGCGTGGGTGTCAGGGTGACCCACTGTACTGGGCCCATCCTGCATCTTTCAACCCTCTCGCCTCTAGGGTGTGGCTCCTACGTCTCTGGTGTTCCTGTGGGCAACAGTGCAGGTCCCAAGGACCCTAGATCTCTTCCTGATCCCTCCATGCTGCCAAGCCCCAGAGAGTCTGGGTCACCCAAGGATTTTCCTGGGACCTGCTGCAGAGATGTGCAGACAAGCAGACTTAAGTAAGGAGCTGCGTTCTTTCCCTCACAGAGGCAAGGCTGCCCCCTGTGAATGCAGCCCTTTATCCTCCAGGGTCATCAATCAGGATGGTTGAAATGGGAGCAGACATGAGCCTGTGTGGTGTGGATGCTCCATACTTTGGTGGTTGGAAGCAGTAAGCACTGGTTTTGAGGTGCTGAGCTGTGAGTGAATCCAACATTTTTCATACCTGCCCGTCAAACAAACCCACCAGTAGGAGCATATTTCCAGATAAGGGTCAGGCCAGAGCTGTCTGGAGCCCTTAAGCCTGGCCTTGTGGGATGGAAAATGGCTGTTTCTGAGGGAACACTGACCTGCTCATCTCCTGACCACAAGTAGGACCTCTAGGCCAACTGGAAGCCACCACAGCTTGTCAGAACACAGAGAACATTGAGTAGTTGAAGAATTTTGAGTCAGAGTCACACACCACCTTGGGGGAAAGGGGGCAGAATGCTGTGTGTTTTGGCTGTGTAACCTCAGGCTGGGCTCACCTTCTCTGTGCCTGAGTTCCTTCGAGTTAACTCTTGAGACTCAGAATACACTTCTCACATCACCCACATATCACAGGAGGGAAGCAAACAAAATTAGGAAGAGGCAGAGTTAGGACTGGAACCCTACCCTGTGGCTGGGAGCCCTGAGGCAGCATGCCCATTATTTGCTTTTCTAGGGCCACACAGTCTCGGTGAAGGGGATGTGTTTGAGGATGACAAAACTGCCTGGGATGGGGCTGGAAATGACTTTTCTAAAGTCCATTTTTCTAAAACCCCACTGTTTGTGTACCTGGGAAAAGAGAATTAGTTCAACTCCCCACAAAAATAATCCATCTTCCCTAAACTGAGGACTAAGGGTCTGTCTGATACTGGGTTCACTCATTGGGACATATGAGCCTACTACTGGCTGGTGAAATATGTGAGAAATGGACAGCAGATGGCGCTGTCTCCTCATGAGAAATAACCAAGGGCAAAAATCCCAGGGCAGTCTTGGTGCTTCTCCTGTAGTATCCTGGGTTCCCTCTCCCTGTACTGACATCACGATGAACTGCAGCTGGCTGCCACCACCCCCACCTCCTGCCCCTTGTCCATTTGCTGCCCTGCCCTCCTGGAGTTTACTCCTATGGCCTGCTTCTGTTGCTACCTTCCTTCACACACACAGACCTACCTCTCTGACCCAGCCTGACCACTGGAACCAGTGCTGGGGGGGGGGGGGTCCAGTGAGAGCTGGGTCCTGCCAGGCCCCTGTCACACATAAACCCAGAGACATTATGTGCCTATCTAGAACGTGCTTTCCGGACACATTCCCAAAGACAGACAACTTGTCCTTTTTCAGGGACATCTAAGAACCTGGCATTCTTCCACACGGCCATGACCCGGGACAGTCAGGGAACATGGGGCCCTAGTTTTAATAAGATGCTCAGAGAGGCTTAGCACATGGTCCTTCCCCAGACCACT